CGACCTCCCACTCAAGCATGCCAGCCTGGTCCAGGCGTAGCAGAAAATCAGCATGCTCCCGAGGCCGAAATCGAAGACGTGGATCCACATAGGGCGACCCCAGTCCCGAGTCCTTCCTGAGAGCAGCTGCATCAGCAGGGTCACGTAGCATTTGATGCCTCCACCCTGACAACGTAGAACGATCAGCTTCAGAAGCGATGTCGGCCGTCGGGACAGGCGCCGCGTGCTTCGGCCAGGAGACGAGCTCCCTGTTGTAGGGTCTTACCCGGGACTCTCCAGAGTACCCGGGCGCCGATGCGAGCAACCCTCCGAGGGTTGCCTCGCATCTAAGAGGAGATTCGGAATAGCTAGGAGGTAGTTCAAAATCGCGATACTGTTGAGCAAGATACTCCTCAGCGTCACTACGAGCGCGCGGAGGAAGACCAGGAGGCGGGCTGATCACATCGTTCGGGTCGCAGTGGTACATGTCGTTGAGAGTGGACACCGCGTCGTTGTACCACTCACGCCAGGCCGCACCCTTGGCGGCCCGTCCGCGGGCCGACCCGCCCATGGATGAAGTGCCCGATCTTCGCTCCACAGGAATAGGGTGGAGGGGAAAAACGTCTCGCTGTCGAGGAAGTTGTGCAGCGAGGGGGCAATGAGCCTGGCTGGCGCCACTGTGGCGCGCCCCGCAGCCAGGCCTGAAGTTCTCAGGCGTCATGGCGCCCGCAAGGCCCGCTCCTCGCGAGCCTTGCGGCGCTCTTTGCTGATGGCGGCCTCCGCCTTCATCTGGTCTGCGATGTACTCCAGCAACTTCGGCGAGATGCAGAGATTGGCCTTGGAGACGCCTGCGCCGAGGAAGTAGCTGGTCTCGGGCGTGCTGGAGGCCCCAGCTGCGGCGCCGCCTCTGGCAGCGGCCTTGGCCTTAGGGGCTGCGCCGCTCGGAGGTGCCGATCGCGTCTCGTGCGCCCGCTCCTCCAGGAGCTGGAGCTGGCGAGCGACGATCTCGAACGATGCAATCTCGGCGATCTGCAGCTGGTCGTGCATGGCGGCGAGGTCCAAGACGCGGCAGAGGGTCTCGTGGAGCTTCGCGTGCTCGTCCTCGTCGGACAACGCCATCGACGTAAGCCACCTCTGATGCCACGCCGTAGGCGTGCCCGCCATCGTCGACATGAAGGACAGGCACCAGAGAAGGGTCCTCGGCCCTTGCACAGGCCAGCCCTGCACGGCCGTCTCCGAGAGGGCGTTGACGGTCTCGCCGAACCTCCTCTCGCGCTCGCCCCGCGGGTTGAGCAGCATCGGGGGGGTCCTGAAGTCGCCGACGGGGGCGGGCGCCGCAGGGGCGGCGGCGGGAAGCGCAGCCGCCACTCCGGGTGCTGGCACCTGCGGCAAGGCCCCCGCGGGGCCAGGCGGGACGGCCCCCAGCGCGGCGGCCGGCGCAGCGACGCCAGGGGCGACGCCGAGAGGGGCCGCCGCAGCGGCCGCTGCCGCGGGGGGTAGCGCCAGCGGGGCCGCAGCCCCCGCGGGCGGCGCCGCACCTCCCACGCCAGGTGGTGGCGGCAGGGCCGCAGGCGGCAGGGCGGCCGCAGCCGCAGGGTCCGCCAGCGGGAAGGGACCAGGCGGGGCGCCTGCCACGTTGCCCGCCGCGAGCGCCAGCGGCAGCGGGTCGGCGGGTCTCGGGTAGCCCGCGGCCACCGAGCGAGCGACGGCCGCCCACAGCTCCGCGGCCGTCGGAAGGCGGCGGAAGCGGTGTACCGCGGCGCCCGCCAGGGCTGGCGGCGTGTCGCCCTGGCCCGCGAGCTGCAGGACCGCTCGCACGTCGGGGCCGACGATGATGGGCTCGTCGTGGTCGTCGAAGTCGGGAGTGAGGATGTAGGCACATCCCCCGTTGACGCCAAGCGTGAGGCGCTCGTGCCACAGGGGCACGCCGCCAACGCGGTAGCGCAACACGTGGAAACTGCCCGCCATCACTGCAGCGCTGGGGCGCGGGCTCGGGCGTCGCGCACCTGCTGCGCCGCGAGAGCGGCGATGTCGATGCCGTCCACGATCTCCACCACGGCGGGCGGCTGGTGGGCAGGCTGCCCGAGGAGCCGCCGCGCAGCCCAGGCGCCTCCCACGGCCCCGACGGCGAGGCCGACGGTCAGCGCGGCCACCGAGTAGGCCGTGACGAGGCCCAGGCACGAGGGCTCGACCACGTGCCCGCCCGCGCCTGCGCAGACGCAGGAGGGGCAGGAGAAGGTCGGAGGCGCGGGGCAGGCCAGCTGCGGCGAGCAGGCCCCGCAGCTGGGCGCGGCGGCCCGCGCCGCGACCGTGGCCCCCAGCGCCTGCGCCCCGTACCTCAGGACGTCCGCCGCATGGTGGGCGATGTCTTGCATAACTGAGCAAGACACCTGAGAGACTTGAGAATGGAAGCGCGGCCCGAAAGAAAGCCACAAATAGCCGCGGGCAGCATAATAATGATGATGATGATGATGATGATGATGATGATGATGATGATGATGATGATGATGATGATGATGATGATGATGATGATGATGATGATGATGATGATGATGATGATGATAATGATGATGATGATGAG